AAAGCCAATGGGCCAATCAGCTTGTAGTGATCTACAAAGCCAACTGGCCAATCAGCTTGTAGAGATCTACAAAGCCAACTGGCCAATCAGGGAGTTCTGGTCTACAAAGCCAATGGGCCAATCAGCTTGTAGTGATCTACAAAGCCAGCTGGCCAATCAGGGAGTTCTGGTCTACAAAGCCAATGGGCCAATCAGCTTGTAGTGATCTACAAAGCCAACAGGCCAATCAGCTTGTAGAGATCTACAAAGCCAATGGGCCAATCAGCTTGTAGTGATCTATAAAGCCAACTGGCCAATCAGCATGCATTGATCTCCAAAGCCAGCTGGCCAATCAGCTTGCGCTGATCTACAAAGCCAACTGGCCAATCAGGGAGTTCTGGTCTACAAAGCCAATGGGCCAATCAGCTTGTAGAGATCTACACAGCCAACTGGCCAATCAGCTTGCGCTGATCTAAGAGCAAGTGCCGGGTCCTGCACCTGGGACGGGGAAACCCTGGCTGCACGTACAGACTGGGCGATGAGACGCTGGAGAGCAGCCTAGAAGAGAGGGATCTGGGGGTCGTGGTAGACAGCAAGTTGAATATGAGCCAGCAGTGTGCCCTGGCAGCCAGGAGGGCCAACCGTGTCCTGGGGTGCATCAAGCACGGCATCGCTAGCAGGTCGAGGGAGGTGATTGTCCCGCTCTACTCTGCGCTGGTGCGGCCTCACCTCGAGTACTGTGTGCAGTTCTGGGCACCACAGTATAAAAAGGACATGAAACTGTTGGAGAGTGTCCAGAGGAGGGCTACGAAGATGGTGAAAGGCCTGGAGGGGAAGACGTACGAGGAACGGCTGAGGGCACTGGGCCTGTTCAGCCTGGAGAAGAGGAGGCTGAGGGGAGACCTCATCGCAGTCTACAACTTCCTCGTAAGGGGGTGTCGAGAGGCAGGAGACCTTTTCTCCAGTTAACACCAGCGACAGGACCCGCGGGAACAGGGTTAAGCTGAGGCATGGGGAAGTTTAGGCTTGACATCAGGAGGGGGTTCTTCACAGAGAGAGTGGTTGCACACTGGAACAGGCTCCCCAGGGACGTGGTCACTGCACCGAGCCTGACTGAATTTAAGAAGAGATTGGACTGTGCACTTAGTCACATGGTCTGAACTTTTGGGTAGACCTGTGCGGTGTCAAGAGTTGGACTTGATGATCCTTAAGGGTCCCTTCCAACTCAGGATATTCTATGATTCTATGATTTGATGATTCTATGATTCTATGATCTACACAGCCAACTGGCCAATCAGCTTGTTGGTCTAAAGGCCAACAGGCCAATCGGCTGGTCTCTCAAGATGATTGGCCAATGGGGCTTGCTGGCTGGCCACGGCGGCTGGCCAATCAGCACACGCTGGCCACTACGGCCATCAGCCAATGAGCACGCCCCCCTCGCAAAGCCAGCTGGCCAATCAGCACGCACTCTTTCCGAAGTCACCAGCCAATCAGCTTGCATCGGCCTCCAAAGCCGCCAGCCAATGGCACGCGTTTGCCTCCAACACAGCCGTCCAATCATCTGTCGTTGATTCCCACAGCCTGCTGGCCAATCAGCATCTCGCCTCCGGAGCCAGCCAGCCAATCAGCACGCGCCGTTCCCCAGAACTACCAGCACCTGCCACGCCGTCGTTCCCACGGCTCCGCCGTCCAATCACCTCTTCCCTATCCCCCCCCCACCAGGCGGGGAACCAATCAGCGAGCTCCATCCATCCAAGCAGCCAATGGGTGAGCTCCGGCCGACCAATCAGCAAGCGCCGCCCCGGATTGAGCAGGAGGGAGGCCGGGCGAGGCGGTGCCGAGGGATTAGGGGCGGATTAGGGAAGGCGGCCTCCACGCTCGGCCTCGGGGCGGGACGAGCCGGGCCCCGACGCCGTTATAAAACCCGCGGCGCTCACGTGGGAGGGACGGGCGCGGAGCGGCGGCGGCGTCGGAGGAGGAGAAGGAGGAGGAGGAGGAGGAGGAAGGAGAAGGAGACACGTCAGGGACATTTGGAACGCTTCTTCCCGGCGCGGAGGGGAGGCCACGCGAGCCTCGGGAGCGGGGAGGCCGCCCCGGCCCCCGCGGGGCACAGCGGGGACCTGCGGAGAGGTTTGGTGGGGTGGGGGTGGAGGGCAGGGGGGGGGAGGCTTCAAAGGGAGGCCGTGGGTCGTGCTCTCCATCCATCCTTACTTCAGCCTCCATCCATTCCTCTCTGGTGTTCAACCTCCAGCCTCCTTCTTGCTCCGTCTCCAGCCTCCTTCTTGCTCTGTCTCCAGCCTCCACCCATCCCTCCTTCTTCTCTCCATCTCCAGCCTCCATCCACCCCTCCTTCTTGCTCCAACCCCAGCCTCCATCCCCACTTTTTTGCTCCGTCCTCAGCCTCCATCCTTCCCTCCTCTTTTCTCCGTCCCCAGCCTCCACCCATCTTCTTCTTTGTCCCTTCCCCGGCCTCTACATCCTTCCTTGGAGAAGGAAGCTCCGTTTCCAGCCTCCATTCACCATTTCCAGCCTCCATCCACGTCTCCTTTCTTCCTCCATCCCTGACCTCCACTCACCCCTCCTTTCTTTCTCCATCCCCAGCCTCCCTCCACCCCTCCTTTCTTCCTCCATCCACCCCTCCTTCCTTACTCCATCCCTGACCTCCCTCCACCCCTCCTTTCTTCCTCCATCCACCCCTCCTTCCTTGCTCCATCCCCGACCTCCCTCCACCCCTCCTTGCTTGCTCCATCCCCAATTTCCACCCCTCCTTGCCCCATCTCCACCCAGCCTTCCTTGCGGAAGTTTTCCACCATGAGGGTGGGGAGGCACCAGAACAGGTTACCCAGAGGAGCTGGGGATGCCCCGGCCCTGGAGGTGCTCAAGGCCACCTTGGACGGGGTTTTGGGCAACCTGGCCTGGTGGGAGGTGGCCCTGCCCATGGCAGGGGGGTGGAATTAGAAGGGCTTTGAGGTCCCTTCCAACCCTTCTGTGATTTCTTCTCCGTGGTTGCTTTATCCTTGAGTCCCCAACCTCTGTCCATCTCTCCTTGCCTCCACCCCAATCATTGTCACAAATGATGCAGAACGGTTGACTTGTCTTCCTTTCTTTGTTTTCCTTCATTTTCCTTTGTTTTCCTTCTTTTTACTTTGTTTATTTTCCTTCTTTTTCCTTCCTTCCTTCTTTTTCCTTCATTTTCCTTCATTTTCCTTCCTTCTTTTTCCTTTTCCTTCCCTCCCTACTTCCCTCCCTCCTCCTCCACGTTTGCTCCACCTCTGGTCTCCATCTCTCCATCCTCATTCATGCTTTGAGCCCCCTTCTCCCCCCATCCCTCCTTCCCCACACCTCCTCCGTCCCCCTCCCCTCGCCATCCCTCCATCCTCAGCCTCCCTTCCCTGGCCCCACGTCCATGGGGCCCACCAGGAATCCACGGGGAGTGGTGCCCCACACCCATGGGTGGCTCCAACCCACGGCCGTGGGAACCGTGACCCACAGGCGTACGGTGCCTTGACCCACCTCCATGGGGCCCACAACACCTCTTTTTTTTGGGGGGAGCAATGACCCACGGTCATGGGTGCCTCCAATCAATGGCCATGGGGGACCATGACCCACAACCATGGGGGACCACAACCCATGGCCATGGGGGGCACAAACCCAACCCCACAGGGGATAGTGACCCATGGCCATGGAGAACCATGACCCACATCTATAGGGGACCTTGATCCATGGCCTTGGGTGCACAGACCCAACCCCACAGGGGACAGTGACCCATGGCCATGGAGAACCATGACCCCTAAACTTGAGTGTCTCCAACCTATGGAGGTCCATGATCCAAAACCATGAGGAGCTTTGACCCACAGCCATGGGGGACCATGACCCACATCCTTGGGGAGCAATGACCCACGTCCAAGGGTGCCTTCACCCCATAGCCTTGAAGAACCGTGCCCCAAAACTACGGGAGGGGGGCCCCAACCCGCTGCCACAGCCCGAGGGAGGCATCCGAGGGCAGTGTGGGGTGCTGGAAGGTCAACCGCCCCGAGACAAGGAGGGGGAGGCGGAGGAGTTGGTGGGGCCCATAATTACGGGCCTCATTAACAATGACTGTGTTGATTGCTGCCGTGGCACTTGGCGTAATGATGTCGCCATTGCAACAGCGCGATGACGGGGCGAATCGTGCAGCTCCCAGCGCCGGGCAGAGGGGATTGTGGAGACCCCCCCACCATGGTGCCATAACCCCCAAAATGGTTTGGAGCTACCAGAAATCCCCCAAAAAACGTGTAGGGCTGCCATAACGACCCCAAAAATGTCTTGGAGCTACCATAAATCCCCTCAAGACATGTGCAGAGCTCCCATAAAGACCCCAAAAATGTCTTGGAGCTATGAGAACCTCCCCAAGAAATGTGTAGGGCTGCCATAATGACCCCAAAAATGGCTTGGAGCTACCAAAATGTCCCCAAGAAATGTGTAGAGCTGCCATAATGACCCCAAAAATGGCTTGGAGCTACCAAAATGCCCCACAAAAATGTGTAGGGCTGCTATAATGCACCAAAAAATGGTTTGGAGCTACCAAAATGCCCCCAAGAAATGTGTAGGGCTGCCATAATGCCCCCCAAAATACTTTGGATCTCTGAGAACCTCCCCAGGAAATGTGCAGGGCTACCATAGTAAGTCCCAAAATGTCTTGGAGATACCATAAAGCCCCCAAAAATGTGTAGGGCTGCCATAATGCTTCCAGAATGGCTTGGAGCTACCATAAACCCCCCAAAAAATATGCAGGGCTCTCATAATGACCCCCCAAAATGTCTTGGAGCTACCAGAACCTCCCCAGGAAATTGGTAGGACTGCCATAATGCCCCCCAAAATAATTTGCAGCTACTATAAACCCCCAAGAAATGTGTTAGGGCTGCCACAACACCCCCCAAAACGGTGCAGAGATACTTCAGTGCCACCCCCAAAAAATGCATAGCCCCACAAAACCACCACCGTGGTCCCAACGCTTCTGCCCCCCTGCAGTGGCCACGTCGATGGAGGTGCAAGCCATGGTGGCCCCCCGGCCATGGGACCGAGTGAAGCTGTTGGGAGCCTTGGTCTTGGTGGTGTCCATGGGTGAGTGCAAGGGTGAAGGGTCTGGCCAACGTTGCACACGCGTGTGGAGGTGCTGACACGTGTCTTCTCGCCCCCGTCATGCCTTGCAGTGTCCTCGGTGGCAGGTGACACGCGCGTGGTGGGCGGCATGGACTGCGAGCCCCACTCGCAGCCCTGGCAGGTGGCCATCCTCGACATGTACAAGCTCTACTGCGGCGGCGTCCTGGTGGCCAGGCAATGGGTGGTGACGGCGGCCCACTGCACCACGCCGGGGTAAGGGCGTCGTCACGCGTGTCATGCGTGTCACGCGTGTCCTGTGTCCCCTGGGTCATGAGCATGCCGTGGTCACCATGGTCTATGTATGTGCTGTGTCATGGTCTTGTAGTCTCATGTATTGGCATGGCCTTGATGTGGTCTACATGGGTCCTGGACATGCCATGACCAATGCATGCCATGGTTGCACCATGTTCATGGGCTACGTCATGTCCCACACATGTTCTTGCCATGACATGACCAACGCATGTCATGGTTGCACCATGATCCCCATGTTCGTAGACCACATCTTGTCCTACATGTCTTGGCCATGTCATGACCAACGCGTCTCATGACTGCACCAAGATCTCCATGTTCATGGTCCACGCCATGTTCCATGCATGCCATGACCAGCACATGCCCTAGCCATGCTGCAGTCTTTGCCCCACAAGATCTACGGCCACACCGTGGTCTCCAAGCCCCACACAAGTGGCCGCGTTCCCCGTGTCCTGGCCACCTCGCCACCCGTCCCACGCGTGTCCCTTGGGTGCTGCAGGATCACCACCATCCGCCTGGGCAAGCACAACCTCTTCACGCGGGAATGGGGCGAGGAGCGGAAGATGGTGCAGAAGCTGGTGCCTCACCCCAACTACAACCCCAGCACCAAGGACAACGACATCATGCTGATCAAGCTCCTGACGCCCGTCACCCTCACCGAGAGGATCCAGCCCGTCCCCGTGGCCTCCTGCCCCCCAGTGCCTGGCACCAGCTGCACCACGTCGGGCTGGGGGGCCACCACCTCCCCAGAAGGTACCCAGTGCCGACAGCCCCTCCTGGATGCCTGGGTCCCCTCCTGGGCATCTGGGTTCTCTCCTTGGCACTTTGGTCCTCTCCTGAACAGCCAAGTGTCCTCTTGGACACCTGGGTCCTCTCCTGGACACCCAGGTCCTCTCCTGGACATCTGGGTGGTCCCCTGGACACCTGGGTCCTCTTCTGGACACCTGGGTCCTCTCCTAAAAAATAGGAACAAAACAGGGCAGCAGAGGAGGAACAGGAAGGAAATAACACGAAATCAAGTTAAATTAAAATAATAATATAAAAAAATAATAATTAAAAAAATAAATAAATAAAACCAAACAATTAAAAGAAACCAGAGGGAAAAGCCTAAAAGCACCTAAAACCCCGTAAATTGAGTACTGGGTTAAATGAGAAGCAAACAGAATCAAATATGATCAAGGGACAAAAGGAAATAAGGCAAAAAAAGGAGAAAAGTTAAAATAAAGGCAAATAAATTAAATGAAGGGGAAATTAAATCAAATTAAGGGAAATGAGTTAAGTAGAACAGAAAGGAGAGAGTAAAACTAAAACACTTTTTTTAATTAAAAAAAGGAAAGAAAAAAAAAAAAAGTAGGTGGAATAAGATGGAGTGAAACAAAAGAGAAACACCCCAAAATTAAGTTAGAGGACACAAAGGGAAAACGTAAAACTAAGTCAGTTTAAGAGAAGACACCAAATCGTGGTGGAAAAAAGGGATGGATTGGGCAAGTCCTGGTTCCCCAACCTCTGAAACTTCTGGTTTCAAATCAGACCTTTTTGGGGTAGAAATTCCTTATTTTTGGCGTTCCCCTCTGGAAATTTGGAATCTGGAACAGTCCCAAACAGCACACTTTCCACCCCAAAACAGTCTGGAGGAGCCACCTCCGCGTGAGACCCCGGGGGAGGCGCAACGCCCTCTTCCCCAGGACGGGGGAGTCGGCGCTGGGAGTTCGGGGGGGGCAAATTTCTGCCGGTTCCCCGGGTCGATTGCTCTGGTTTCTTTCTCCCCTCCCCTCCGTTTCCCATCTCAGTCTCTTACCCGGACGTCTTGCAGTGCGTCACCGTCACCATCTTCTCCACGGCTGAGTGCAAGCGGTTATACCCCGGCTCCATCACCGAGAACATGATATGCGCCGGGAGCCTCCAAGGCGGTAGGGATTCCTGCCAGGTACGGCCACGATGTCCTCCTTCCACCGCTGCCACCAGGGGTTGTCCACAAGGCAGACCAAGGGGACACGTCCCCCGGTCACCACCATGGGGTTGGTGGTCTTCACGGTGGCTCAGGAACCCAACAAGGGTTGGCCAAGATGAGTTAGGCAAGGCAGCGATGTTCTCAACCCAACGAGGGTTGGCCAAAACGTTTTGAAAGGGTTGGCCAAAAAGTGTTCAACCAGGGTTGGCCAAAATGTTGGCCAAAAAGTGTTCAACCAGTTGGGGGCCGGACCAACCAACGGCAGTTGGACAAGGCAGGGAGTTCTTCAGGCCATGGAGTTCTTCAGCCCAACAAGGATTGGTCAAAGCAAGAGTAATTGGGCAAATCAAGGGTAATTGGGCAAAAAAAGTGTAATTGGCCAAAGCAAGTGTAATTGGACAAAAAAAGTGTAATTGGCCAAAACGAGTGTAATTGGGCAAATCGAGTGTAATTGGGAAAATCAAGTGTAATTGGCCAAAACGAGTGTAATTGGGCAAATCGAGTGTAATTGGGAAAATCAAGTGTAATTGGCCAAAACAAGTGTAATTGGGCAAATCGAGTGTAATTGGGAAAATCAAGTGTAATTGGCCAAAACAAGTGTAAGTGGGCAAATCAAGAGTAATTGGGCAAGTCAAGTGTAATTGGCCAAAAAAAGTGTAATTGGCCGAAACGAGAGTAATTGGGCAAATCAAGAGTAATTGGCCAAAAAAAGTGTAATTGGCCAAAACGAGTGTAATTGAGCAAATCAAGTGTAATTGGGCAAATCAAGAGTAATTGGCCAAGTCAAGTGTAATTGGCCAAAATGAGAGTAATTGGACAAATCAAGAGTAATTGGCCAAAGCAAGTGGAGTTGGCCAAAGCAAGTGTAATTAGCCAAAGTGAATGTTATTAGCCAAAGCGAGTGTAATTAGCCAAAGTATAATTGGCCAACTCAACGATGGTTGGCCAACCCAAAGAGATTTGGACAAGCAGCCGTGGTGGTTGGCTGACCAGCGATGGTTAAAGAATCTGCCAAGCGTTACGTCCCGGTGCAACGGTGGTGGAACTACTGGATAATTAGACAGCCTGATGTCCTAGGTTGGTTGAACCAATGGTTTATCAGCCTGATAAAGGTTGGTCAAATCAGTTGGAGGTCCAATTGGTCAAACTGGTGATGACTGGCCAGTTGGCCAAACCAGTGATGTCTGGCCAAGCCAACAATGGTTGGCCAACTCAACAATGGTTGGCCAACCATGAGAGGAGACCCAAGAGGATGAGGCCTGAGAGTGGTGGGCCAAGCAACGAGGAGTTGGCCAACCCAAAAAGCGTTGGGCGACGGCTGGCTCACGGCACCTCTTTCCGTAGGGTGACTCCGGGGGACCTCTGGTTTGCAACGGGACCCTCCAAGGCATCGTGTCCTGGGGCATGGAGAAATGCGGGCAGCCCAAGAGACCTGGTGTCTACACCAAGGTCTGCAGATACGCCCAGTGGATCCAGCAAACCATGAAGGACAACCAGTGACGCTCCAGCAACCTCCGAGCTCCCGAGGGAGGTCGGAGGGCCACGTCCAGGCTGCCGCCGCTCGCCGGGGCAGGTCGCTGGGCCAACGGAGGCTGTGGCAAGGTTGTGGGTGCAGCCAGGGTGCCGCCTGGTGAAGCCAGCGAGAGGGTGGATGGGAAGGAACAAGAAATTAAAGCGTTGCGATGTTTGGTGGGAAATTTCGTCCTTTCAACCTGCCCCCTCAAGACAAACCCCAGACCTGGCCTCTCCTCCCGGGGTCCTCCGCGGGGCCAGGTTTCCCTTTATGGCTTCATTTTGAGGTCAGAGCCGTCCCGCCATCCCCCAAATTTGCGATTTTAGGTTGATTTGATTTGAAGACGGGGCCTTTTTCCCACACTCGTGCTCTCCCATCATCTCACGAGGACGAAGATGTGGCCTGGCCTTGCTATGGCCCCATGGACGTGGGACGCTGGTGGATGAGTCCTCCAACCCAAAAAGAGTAAATAACCAATGATGGTTGCCCAATTTGATGACTTTTGGCCATCCAACCATCTCCTATCCAATAGGAGACCCCCGGTGGGAATGAACAACACAAGGAGCATCAGCAGGGGACACCCAAGCCCACGAGGGGCACCCAAGGGCCCCAGTGATGGTTGGCCAACCCAAACCTAAGGCAGTTGGCCAATCCGATCGGGCAGGAGGATCACCCAAAAAATGATGCATGGACAACCCAACGAGGGTTGGCCAATCCAACAAGGGTTTCCCAACTCAACGATGATGGTTGGTCAACCCAAGGTCTACCGGGTTCTTCTGGGGCTGGCGGCCACGGGTTTGTTTTGGCTGTGATGTTGCCCCCCCCCCAAGTTCCTCCATCCCACCCCGCTTCTGCACGCCCTCAAGATTTTTCCATTGACCTTTTTTTCCAAAAAAAAAGTGTCCCAAGATGATGCACGCAGGTTCCCGGGGGCTTTGTGGCCCCAAGGAACATGTTGGCAGGGAAAACGGAGGAGGAAATGCAGGAAAAATGCTGAGGAGGCATCTGGAGAGGTTTTGGGTCCATGCGGGGGATGGGGCCACGTCAGCCTCACAATTGGGTGGCTCTCCCTAAGCCCCGCCCACCTCAAACTGGGGAAATGCTATTGGGTGGGCTCCCCCCAAGTCCCTCCCACCCCAAAACGGGGAAACGCCATTGGCCGGGCTCTCCCCAACTCCCACATCAATCGGGGGAAAGTTCCCAATTTCCGCCCACCCCAATTGGAGAACCACCATTGGTCGGGCTCTCCCCAAACCCCACCCACCCCAAATTGGAGAATCACCATTGGGTCGGCCTCTTCCCAACTCCCACCCACCCCAAATTGGGGAACCACCATTGGTCGGGCTCTCCCCAAACCCCACCCCTGCCCAATTTAGGGTCTCACCACCACCACCCCCGTAACAACCCTAGGGACACGTAGACCCCCCCAAATCCCACAAACCAAAATCTCCCCCCCCACCCAACCCAAACTCAACCCATGTTGGTTGAGATGTCCATCCCATGGACTCTTGGGACCCTTCTCGGTGTAGATGCCTCCACCCAACCCAAAGCTGGTTGAGATGTCCACCCCATGGACACCTGGGTCTCACCAACCCTGGACACTCTGGTCCCTTCCTTCCAGATACCACCAACCCAACCCAACCGAACTCAACCCAACCCAACCCAACCCAACCCAACCCAACCCAACCAACCCAACCTGGTTGAGATGTCCACCCATGGACACCTAGGGTCCTCACCCAACCCTGGACCACCTGGGTCCTTTCCTTCCAGATACCACCAACCAACCGAACCCAACCCAATCCAATCCAACTCTGGTTGAGATGTCCACCCCATGGACACCTGGGTCCTCACCCAACCCTGGACACCTGGGTCCCTTCCTTCCAGAGACACCCCAACCCAACCCAACCCAACCCAACCCTGGTTGAGATCCCCATCCCAAGGACCCCCCTGGGTGCCCCGTACCCTCAGGACTGGTGGTGGTCCCCCAGCCCATGACGGTGCAGTTGGTGCCGGGGGCCGGGGGGGCGCTGGGCAGGGTCAGGGGCTGGACGAAGGCGTGACGGTCAGGGCGGGCTGAATGCGCAGCAGCATCAGGTCATCGGCGTAGCTGCCGTCCCCCTCCAGGTCGCTGAAGCCAGGGTGGACCACCACCTTCGTGGCCACTGCGTACTGCTCATGTCCCGTCAGGGCCTCCAAGCTGTGGGACCCTGCCCGCACCTGGATGTTGCTTGGGGACAAGGGGACACGTGAGGGACGTGGCCGCGGGGAGGTGGGATGGCATGGTTGGAGGGGTGGGGGACGTGGTCATGGGGATGTGGTCATGGGGAATGTGGTCATGAGGGATGTGGTCATGGAAGGACGTGGACATAGAGGACGGCATGGAGGGATGTGGTCATGGGGACGTGGTCATGGAAGGACATGGACCTTGGGGACTTGGACATGGAGAGATGGAGATGGGAGAGATGGGAACATGGGCAACGTGGTCATGGAGGGATGTGGTCATGGAAGGACATGGACATGGAGACGTGGTCATGAGGACATGGTTATGGGAGACGTGGTCATAGAGGGACGTGGTCATGGAAGAACATGGATGGACATGGAGGGATGTGGTCATGGAGGGACGTGGTCATGGAGAGACATGGTTATGGAGGGACGTGGTCATGGAGGGACATGGTTATGAGGCTGGAGGACATGGTATGCATGGATGGAGGACGTGGACCTTGGGGACTTGGACATGGAGAGATGAAGATGGGAGAGATGGAAACATGGGGAACATGGTCATGGAGGGACGTGGTCATGGGGACGTGGTCATGGGGACATGGACTATGGTAGGACGTGGTCATAGGAGGACATGGTCATGGAAGGACAGGGATGGACAGCGGATACAGACTGAGGGACATGGATGGTCATGGGGATGTGGTCATGGGGGACGTAGGCGTGGTCATGGAGGACATGGATGACATCATGAGGGACATGGTGGTCATGGGGGAGCGATGGACTAGGCATGGAACGTGGTAGAGGGCGTGGTCATGGGGACATGGACATGGTGAGATGTGGTGACATGGGGATGTGGGGTTCATGGGGACATGGGGTGGCATGGGGACGTGGTCATGGGGACATGGAGGCTCATGGGGATGGCGGTCATGGGGACATGGGATGCATGGGGACGGGGTGGCATGGGGACGTGGTCATGGGGAGGGAGCGTGGACCTTGGGGACGTGGCCATGGAGAGATGGAGGTGGGAGGGATGGGGACACGGAGGACGTGGTCATGGAGGGACACCAACGTGGGGGGACGTGGCCATGGAGACCGGGGACAGGAGGGATGGGGACGTGTGGGACGGGAGGGCGCAGGTGGAGTGACCCAGTTCTCTTCCCAGTTCCCCTCCCAGTACTTCTGGGTTCCCCTCCCAGGTCCTCCCAGTGCTTCCCAGTTCCTCCCAGTGTTTCCCAGTTCCTCCCAGTCTTTCCCAGTTCCCCTCCCAGCATTTCCCAGAACTGCCTAGCAGTGGGCAGCCATGAACATGCACTGGGAGTAGGGCTCCCAGTGACTCCCAGTGCCACCCAGTGCTCCCAGTTCCCCACCCAGTTCTCTCCAGTGCCCCTTCCCAGTGCCTCCCAGTGTCCCCAGTTCCCATTTCAGTGTCTCCCAGTCTCCCCTCCCAGTGATCCTGGTACCCCCCAGTAGCCCCAGTCCCCCTCCTAGTGACTCCAGTGCCCCCAGTGCCCCTTCTAGTGCTTCCCAGTAGACCTAGTCCCCCCAGTTACTCTCCCAGTGGCTCCCAGTGCTGCCCACTACCCAGTCCCCTCCCAGTACCACCAGTCCCCCCCTTGCTTCCAGTAGCTCCAGTCCTTCATCCAGTCTCATTGCCTAGCCCAGTGCCTCCCAGTAACTCCCAGTCCCCCCACCAGTGTCCCCAGTCCATCTACCTATGCCTCCCAATCCTCCAGTAGCCCTCAGTCCCCCTCCATCCCCCCCAGTAGCCCCAGAGCCATCCCAGGCCTCCCAGTGACCATCCCTTCCACGCCCCTACCCAGTGACCTCCCAGTCTCCACTCCCCAGCCTCTCCCAGTGCCTCCCAGTGCCTCCCAGTGCCCCTAGTCCTCCCAGCACCCCTCCCAGTGCCTCCCAGTCTCCCCCAGCACCCCCTCCCAGTGCCCCCCCAGTCCCCCCCAGTCCCGTGCGCCCCTCCCAGTGCCTCCCAGTGCCTTCCAGTGCCCACCTGGTCAGGCAGTGGGCGGCCGTGAGCACCCACTCGGTGCTGATCAGGGCCCCCCCGCACTGGTGCTGGTCGAAGTAGAAGAGCAGGACGAGGCCGGGGTGGGCCAGGGGGGGGCACTCCCTGCCCCCAGGATCCGCTCGTCCCGAGGCCAGGCTGGCACCGCCCACATTAAAATGGGGGGGGGCACAACACCGGGACCCCCCCCCTATTTTTTAGACACCCCCCCAATGTCCCCTCACACCCCCATATCCACCCTTGGGACCACCCCCGCACCCCCATTTCCACCATGGGGACTCCCAGGACCCCCCCAGTTCCAAAACTTAGCCCCCCCCACCCCAATTGACCCCCCCCCAATCCCCAAATTTGGGACCCCCCTCCAGGGACCCTCATAACCCCCTTGGGACCCCCGGACCCCCCCATTCTCACCCAGGGGACCCCCAAGACCCCCCCCATCCACCCAGGGGACCCCCAGGACCTCCCATATACCCCCTTAGGACCCCAGGACCCCCCCCCCCCCCATCCTTGAGACCCTCGCGACCCCCCCATCCCCACCCTGAAGACCCCCAGGACCCCTCATCCCCACCCTGGGGACCCCCCCCCCCCACCCCCATATCCACCCTTGGGACCCCCCAACCCCCCCAGTTCCCACCCTGGGGACCCCCAGGACCCCCCCAGTCCCCACCCTTGGGACCCCCCCCCCAGCCTCTCACCGGGGGCCACCAGCGCCTGAGGAAGAGGAGGAGGAGGAAGAGGGAGGAGACTCCATGACGAGGGG